CTCCCCTGGCCAGATCCCTCTCCCCAGCCAGCCGGTCCCCCTCTCCCCTGGCCAGATCTCTGTCCCCGGCCAGCCGGTCCCCCCCTCCCCTGGCCAGATCCCTCTCCCGGGCCGTTTGGTCTCTCCTTCCCCTGGCCAGATCCCTGTCCCAGGACAGCCCAATCATTCCGCCCTAGCTAATCTGCCCATTTCCTAGCTGGTTTCCTGTTTCCATTCAGTCTGTCTCCTCCCATCCAATTCCCTGTCCAGCTTCTGGTCCATCCGTGCCCCACCCATCTCTGCTGGGCCCTTTAGCCTAGTAGTAATCACTTCTGCCCAGTGATGTTACTCCCCTGCATCCTAGGCTGTGTCTATGCTGCCACTTTCAGCTCTAAAATTTTAATCATTCAAGGGTATGAACCGTATCCCTGAGCAATAACAGTGTTGTGCTGTAAAGCATTGGCATAAACAGTGCTTCATCGCCAGGAGCCGTGACTGCCAGCGATACGGCTGCCCCCCGGGTGGGTGGAAGTTTCATCGGCAGGAGTCCCCTCCCCCTGATAAAACATGACTACACTGCCCACGTCACAGCGCTGCAGCGGCCACGCGGTAACGTGGGCAGGGTGGACACACTGGTTGCTGGGCCTAGATTGCCTTTCTTTGCCTTGTTCTGCTTCTCACAGACTCATCCTGGGGGCTTATCAGTGATACTTAAAATGGCTGACAAACTCCTTCCTTTCTTGCTAATTCTCTCTGCTTCCTCTCGCCTGTGGCACCACCTCTCTCTTTTCTTGCCCGTCTCCCTCTTGCGGTATAGCCAGGCCAAGCCCAAATTGCCATTTCGTTTGCAACCAATCGACCCCTTCTCTGTCCAGTAGCCAATGCTACTGCCCAGTCTTGTGCTGCTTATGGGCATGCCTCTTTTTCTGGATTTGCCCTTCGCCAGCAAAGGGCTGGCACAAAGAGGAGCCAGAGGTCCTTCTGTGAGGCTCTCTGGAGGTATCCAGGGGATTGAAAGGCATCTCCCCACATCCCCTTATCCCCAGGAAGTCTTGTTTGTGCCTGCTGGGGTCAGGTCATAAGAATACAAGAGCAGCCAGACTGGGTCGGACCAAAGATACATCCAGCCCAATGTCCTGCCTGCCCACAGTGGCCAATGCCAGGTGCCGCAGAGGGAGGTAATCCTCACGTGATCCGTTCCTTGTCACCCACCTCCAGAGAAACAGAGGCTAATATCTATAGTAGTAGCCCAGTGTCTGAGAGTCTGTAACGCCGAAATGCTGGCTGTTCCCCCTGGGGGGTGCTGTTGCCTGAAATGCTGGCTGTTCCCTCTGGGTGGCGCTGTTGCTGAAATGCTGGCTGTTCCCTCTTGGCGGCCTGTGCTGCATGGGGAGCGCGGGGCCCAAACGGACGCTTGCACCTCTTGCTCCCCCGCGGTGGTCTGGCTGAGTGGTGCAGAAGTCAGCTGAGCGCCATGGCGGGAGGCGAAGGGGAGCGGGGCGGGGATGTTCATGGCCAGGGGGTGGGGCCTGGAGCCGCTGTCATGCTGCACGTCACTGCCCCGCCCCCTTCGCCTTCCGCCGTGGCGCTCAGCTGACTTCTGCACTGCTCCGCCAGGCCGCCGCGTGGGAGCAAGTGGCGCAAGCGGCTGTTTGGGCCCCGTGCTCCCCATGCAGCACCCCTGTGCTGCATGGGGAGCGCGGGGCCCAAACGGACGCTTGCACCTCTTGCTCCCCCGCGGTGGTCTGGCTGAGTGGTGCAGAAGTCAGCTGAGCGCCATGGCGGGAGGCGAAGGGGAGCGGGGCGGGGATGTTCATGGCCAGGGGGTGGGGCCTGGAGCCGCTGTCATGCTGCACGTCACTGCCCCGCCCCCTTCGCCTTCCGCCGTGGCGCTCAGCTGACTTCTGCACTGCTCCGCCAGGCCGCCGCGTGGGAGCAAGTGGCGCAAGCGGCTGTTTGGGCCCCGTGCTCCCCATGCAGCACCCCTGTGCTGCATGGGGAGCGCGGGGCCCAAACGGACGCTTGCACCTCTTGCTCCCCCGCGGTGGTCTGGCTGAGTGGTGCAGAAGTCAGCTGAGCGCCATGGCGGGAGGCGAAGGGGAGCGGGGCGGGGATGTTCATGGCCAGGGGGTGGGGCCTGGAGCCGCTGTCATGCTGCACGTCACTGCCCCGCCCCCTTCGCCTTCCGCCGTGGCGCTCAGCTGACTTCTGCACTGCTCCGCCAGGCCGCCGCGTGGGAGCAAGTGGCGCAAGCGGCTGTTTGGGCCCCGTGCTCCCCATGCAGCACCCCTGTGCTGCATGGGGAGCGCGGGGCCCAAACGGACGCTTGCACCTCTTGCTCCCCCGCGGTGGTCTGGCTGAGTGGTGCAGAAGTCAGCTGAGCGCCATGGCGGGAGGCGAAGGGGAGCGGGGCGGGGATGTTCATGGCCAGGGGGTGGGGCCTGGACGAGCATGCATCTCTGACATCAGGAAAGGGCGCCAGATTCAAAAGGAGGAAAGTGGAGCAGACACAGAGGACGTGGAGGAGACAGAGAGGAGAACGGAGGAGATGGAGGACAGCGAGAGAGAGAGTGAGAGAGACGCAGCAGGAGGAGGAGAAGAGAAACACAGTGAGAGGCAGGAGCGGGAGAAGAGAAAGAGAAAGAAGGAGAGAGAGGCAGGTGGCGGATGAGAGCTGAGAGAGAGTGAGGGCGAGGCAGTAGGAGAAGAGAGAGAGAGGCCATTTGCGCCGCTTGTTCCCACACGGCGGCCTGGCTGAGTGGCGCAGAAGTCAGCCGAGCACCATGGCGGGAGATGAAGGGGGGCGGGGCGGTGACGTACACGCCCAGGGGGCAGGGCCTGGACGAGTGTGCATCCCCGATGGATACAGAGGAGAGCAGAGAGAGAGTGAGAGGGAGGAGGAGGAGAAGAGAAAGAGAGAGACAGAGAGAGATGCAGAAGGCGAAGGAGAGCTGGGGACAGGGCGGGAGGCCGTAGGAGGAAGAGAGAGAGAGAGACGGAGCGAGGGACCGGAGGTGAGAAGACCGACGTGGAGGAGATACCTGAAAATCCCATTTTATGACGGGCTAATTGGCTAGTGATTTTATAATCTTCTATCATATCCCCCCTTAGTCTCCTCTTTTCCAAACTGAAAAATCCAAGTCTTTTTAATCTCTCTTCATAGTGGACCAGTTCCAAATCCCTAATCATTTTGTTGCCTTTTTTGAGATGAGGTGGCCACATCTGTACGCAGTATTCTAGATGTGGGCGTCCCATGGTTTTATACAGGGGCAGTAAGATATTCTCTCTTATTCTCTATCCCTTTTTAATGGCGCCTAACATTCTACAGTGGAGTCTGGATTAACCAAAGTCCTCGGGAGCTGCAGGGTCAGATACAGCGCAGCCTGGGAGAACAGCCCCGCTTGCTGCCCTGTCGCCCTCTAGGAGCAGCTGCTGCCGCTCCTGCCGGAGACGAAGCGGCCCCGGCAGAAGCGGCCGCAGCTTCTCCTAGAGAGCAAGGGAACAGCTGTTCCATTGCTCTCTACAGTAGAGTCTGTATCATCCGACATTCGGTAATCCGACCATGTGCCAGTTTAGGTTGGATAACAGGGACTCTACTGTATTTGCTTTTTTGACTGCCGCTGCCCACTGAGTGGATGTTTTCAGAGAACTATCCACAGTGACTCCAAGATCTCTCTTGAGTAGTTGTAGTTAAATTAATCCCCATCATGTTGTATGTGTAGTTGAGATTATTTCTTCCAATGTGCATTACTTTAAATTTTCCACATTAACTTTTATTTGCCACTTTGTTGCCCAGTCACTTAGTTTGGTGAGATCTTTTTGAAGCTCTTCACAGTCTGCTTTGATCTTAACTATCTTGAGCAGTTTAGTATCATCTGCAAATTTTACCACCTCACTGTTTACCCCGTTCTCTAGATCATTTATAAATAAGTTGAATAGGATTGGTCCCAGGACAGACCCTTGGGGGACCCCACTAGTTACCTCTCTCCACTTGGAAAACTGACCATTTATTCCTACTCTTTGTTTCCTGTCTTTTAGCCAGTTCTCAACCCATGAAAGGACCTTCCCTCTCATCCCATGACAAATTACTTTACTTCAGAGCCTTTGGTGAGGGACCTTGTCAAAGGGTTTCTGGAAATCTTGAAACCACCAGTCTCTGGCAGCCTTCCAGGCTTCGGGCTCTCTAGTCAGGGAGCAGACACACCACTGCTGGATTCTTGGGGTGTCCCATATCCCGTCCAGCCCCTATCCACTGAACACTCATAGGGACCAGCCTGCAGGTCTCTAAGGAACCATACTTCAGCTTGTAAGAGCAACTCCAGTTCAGCAGCTTGCGGAAGACCAGAGCATGGAGGTTGCATTGTAGTGAAACCAAGAAGGGGGTGATTGTCAGAGAACAGAAATTCAGCTGATAGGGAGAATACTGGACAATCCGGTGACATACAATTCCAAGTCCCCCGTGTGTAAGGACCTGCTTACATAACAGCACTGCTCTCCCCCAGTGCTGGCACCAGCATTTCCAGCCAAGCCTCCTGAGACCCCGAGCAAGCTGGCTGCCCCTCTGCTGCCATGGGCTGGGAGGCCAGGGTGCCTTTCAGATCTCTGACTGCACCTCAAGATGTGGGGGTCTCTCCCCCCGCCTGGCTGCTTGCTTCTTCCTGTTACTTTTCTCTCAAGTCACAGCCCTTCATTAGCATTGGGTGCAGCCTCGGGAGCGGAGCCCTGCAGCGAGCCAGGCAGCGCCGCACGGCTCTCTCCCCGTGGCTCGTGGCCAGTCCCTGAGCAGCTGCACGCAGCTCCTCGTGGTGACATTGGTGACCGATGGGACACACGTCTGTTTGACACCTCACACAACAGGCTTTGGGGCCTGGACCCAGGAGGTTCTCGTCCCCTCAGGCACTCGTCCAGTGGCACTAAGAGGGTCCCGGCCCAGCCCCTCCTATTGTTGCTTTTGGCCCAGCCCCTCCTGTTGATGCTTTTGGCCCAGCTTCCTGGTAGTGAGTGCAGCCCAGTGCTGCTCCCTGGGTGTCCCCTGGGTGACTGTGTCCTGGCTGTGTGGCATTCAGGGCAGCGTGGGGTGCAGGTCACCTGCTGCTTGGGGCTAGAATAAGTGAGATCCCTATAACCTGAGGCCCTTACATCACCCGTTGAGGATGTGGGTGACTCAGCCAAAGATTATGGCCTCCTATTGGAGGGGGAGGGGCTGTGGCTGGCAACGTGCAGGAGTTCGGGCAAGATGAGCACGTTGGCCCTGCTGGCCCTAAGGTCTGTGAGTCTGTGCCCAGGACCTACAGAGCCCTCCTATGGGGAGGTCAAAGTGAGCATCAGTCTTGTCTCTGGTTCCTCCCTTTAGGGCTGCACGAAAGGGTGTCATAGCAACGAGAAGCCCACGGAGCCCAACCTGCCAGAGGAGGCCTCAGATGAGCTGAAGGCCAAGTCAAGCCCAGAACTCATCATCCAAAGCCCAAAATCAGCAGAGAAGATGCAGCGTGAAAGGCCAAGGTGAGTCAGACCCTGGCCATGTAGACAGCCCTGCCCTGCCTGCCTCTCAGGATGGGGCAGGGATAGTTAATCCAAGTGGTGAGGAAACGACGTTGGTTTTTGTTGTGTTGCACATGGTTGTTCCTTCCAGCTCTGATGAGCCAAGACACCCACTGCCGATGAAAGTGTCCAGGTCCCTGGAGCAAGCCCTGGAGAAGCTGCAGCTGTCCTCCAAAGATCAACGCCCTGAGGGAGGTTCCTCGTGCAGGGGTGAGAAGATGGGGAAAGGCCTGCCAGGGTGATCTGGGACTCATGGAGGGTGCCCAGCTCAGAAATAGCATGTGTGCCGTGTAGAGGGATGGCAGGCCGGTGAGGTTGTCTGCCGGCATGGAGCTGTGCACTGGGGGGACTCTGGTCCTGGGTGATGGGGGTGCGAGTGAAGACCTCTGAGGGATGTGGGAGCCATGTAAAGAGCTCTGTGCTCTGTATGTTGATTACAGCAGAGGCTGCTCCGGAGGTCAGAACAGGCACCACCTGTAAGAACTCGGGCTGTAAGGCGGTGAGTTGCATTCGTGGCTCAAGTCCAGGTCAGTGTCCCAGGCTGTGGGGATCAGCGCTCAGGGCACCCACTCCCTTCCCGCAGACTTCGGCGCCACGCCCCGCACTGACACAGACCAGCTTTCTGTGGGGGAGCGTCTTGTGGTCTTGCTGGTCCTCCCCCAGGGCAGTGAGTGGAGCAGCCGGGGCTGACGACTGAGACATCGAGCCTCCACCGAGCTTTGCGTGGAATCTGCTGGCCTCACAGCCAAGCTTGTGTCTCCAGTCCCGTCACCGAAATCCAACAGGCTCCAGTAAAGCTCTTACTGGCCCTTAGCCTGTGACCCAGCGTTGCGCACTGAGGGCCGGAGCTAGAGCAGGGGGCTCCCAGAAACACACACCTGGGTGCCTGGCCCTGTCCTACCTGCTGGCACGAGACCGCTGGCGAGAGAAAAAAGAGTCTGCTCCGCGGCCCCAGTGGGGAGCCAGCTGGCGGCTCGCTCGTATGCTAGAGGCTCATGCACAAAGCTCCGGAGGTCCCAGTGCAGCTGGGAGCTCTCCAGGGGCTGGAGCGGGGAACTGATGAGCATGAGCGTGGGGCCGCGCCGTGCAGTGGGGCTGAGGGGCCAGGGTGGAGGAGGGAGCATGACCAGCACTCACACCCATGTGGGGAAGAGGAACTGGGCCGCAGAGCAAGGTGGGAGCAGGGAGCTGAGTGTCTATTTCTGTCCCTAGCCCCGGGCTTTGCGCCTCCCATCCTATCTGCATGGGTCCTTCCTGAGCAACTTGCCCAAGGCCCCTCTCCCGTATGCAGCACCCCTCCCTGTCCCTCTGCCGAACCAGGTCCCTGCTCACAGCCTGGGGAAGCCAACCTCCCTTCAGCTTTACCTCTAGACTTAGCCCTGCTCAATAGCCAAGTGATGCTCTTGCCTTTGGCACGGGATTGCCAGGCAGCCTCCCCCCTCCCCGGGCTACACTCGAGTCCCTGTCAGACCCTGCTCAGAAAAGCCTGCCCAGGCCACTTCACAGCTGTCAAAAACGCCTGGAAAAAGCCCAGCCAGAAACTCCCCTCCGGCTGCAGCTGCATGGGGTGGGGCTTCAGCTGGGTTCCAACTCCTCTGAATTGCTGAGGGGTCCGGCAGCTCAGTGGTGACCAGCTGTACTTTAGGAAAGAATCATTCTCCACCTTCCCCTAGTGGTGCCGGTTGGGTTTCCTCTTCAGCAGCATGCTGGGCTGACCACTGCCACTGCCTCTCCCCGCAGAGCTACAAGGGGCCAGACACCGAGAGGGAGGCATGCACTTTCCACCCGGGAGCTCCTGTCTTCCACGAGGGGTAAGAAACAGCCGTTGGAACTGCAGGGTTGCTAACATTCCAGTTGCACAAAATCCGCGGCCCTGCCCTGCCTCTGCCCCAGGCTCTGCTCCCCTGTTGCTCCATCCCCTCCGCCCCACTTACTTGCACTAGGCCGGGGGGAGGGGCTGAGCACTCTTGCTGGGAAGGTGTGTGGAGGGGTGAGGCTCTGGCTGGCGGGTGTGGGGGAGGGGGGAGGCTCTGGCGCGGAGGTGGGGAGTGCAAAGCTCTAGGTCATTCTCCCCCCTAACAGCCTAGATCTCCCATCCGCCCTGGACTTGCGGGTCCCTTTCTGGCATTCCCAGATTCATTTGTTTCTTGCTCTGTCCCCAGTATGAAGTACTGGAGTTGCTGTGGCATTAAAACTACAGACTTTAGCACGTTCCTGGAGCAAGAGGGCTGCACCACTGGGAAACACAGCTGGCTACAGAAGGAGGTTTGTGAGCCTGCCAGGAGCCCTGCTGCTGCAAGGCTCAGACCGTGAGCAGGCAGCCCAGGAGTCCGGAACAGGGACTGCTGCCCATTCTGGGATGGGAACGGGGGCCAAACGAGTTCTTAAAATACCCAGTGCAAATGTTCTGGTTGTCATGTGGTGCTTGAGTGTGAGCACTGCACAAGCCTCCCTCCTGACAGAAAGACACAGGCCTGCCCGAGAGGGTCCGGGTGCTCGGCAAAGGGTGGAGGGGCCTTGCACAGATAATCCCTCCTGCTGGAA